CAATATCTTGAAATTCTTGAGCATGAGATACATTTTTAAACCTCTTTTCGTATGATACGCTTCTGGAAGACAATTTTTGATGATCTTAATCGTAAATTGAATAAAAATCAAGAAAGGTGAGACCACTTTGGAAGACTATCTCATTGCAAGACTTACTTTTACACTGAACTACTTGTATAAGACATTTTCATACGATACTTACCATTGGAGACAATTTTCCTAAGCTGTTTTGAAGACAAACTTTGATGACTGTTTTTTTACGCATTTATACTAGACACTTTACTTACTCTGAAGTCAATTTTTGGAGATATATTTTCTTTGGCGCATCTCTATCAGTCACATTTTGAGGCCATCTGAAGATGAAACTTCTCCGCCTCTATATTTATATGATGCTATCTATACTGAAGTTATTCTCTATTGCTGTTTCAGTCCTTGCTAACAGGGAAGACGTTGACTGAAATGACGTTGAGCGAATGTAGTCAAAAACTTTTGTAATGTCATTTAATTTGTTCAATTACATGTTTAATAATAATTGTACTTATTCTTATTTTAATTATCATATTTGCAATGAAGCAAGATACAAATATGTAACAACAATAATGGCTTTTTCGTACAGTGCCATCTAATCGTAACAGAAAAACTCTGAATTTTCTTAAATGCTTTTATCCAGACGCTTCTACCTCCATGTGGACAACACAATCAACAATGATGGTGAAGACTACTACTGATACATTAGAGTGACAACAACAGAAAAACATTTTGATATAACAATGATAACAGCCACCACATCAGGTATGCTATAAAAATTAGCAAGACGGCCTGTACACCTAACTCTACCTACGTATGGAATTCCATAACGTTTTTTGGTGATTTTGTTTTATTTGCAGAAATTTTTCAAAAAAGTCAGAACTCAAAAGTGAATGAGCCATATTGTAGACAATTCAATTCTCTATCAACTGACCTGGCTTTGAAAAGTTTTAGCGAAAATCTCTTGGTTAGGAAATTCAAAGCATTTTACAATTTTACTAAAGGACGTGGGCCGATAAGGCCACTTTGCGTCCCCTAACAAAATACAATGAATTATACATTTTCGGAATCAGCGTCGAATTCTGAACAAAACTGTGGATGGCAATCTTTTAAAAAGCGCTCAATTTTTGCCGTTGATGTAAGAAAAACGACACAAATGAACTTTTTAAGAATCGCTGACATCAGCTACGTATTTTTTTGATCTGAATGCAAGACAGAGCTGTATATCACTAATATCCGTTAGAATTGACGTTCTTCCAACAATTTCGCCAAACGGTTGTTTTACAATTAATAGCCAAGTGAAGGACTATATGGGCTTTTGCTATAATCATTTTTTTTACGGATAATTCGTCATTCTGGTGAATTCTGTTTAATATTAATGTTTTTTCGCGTACTCACACTCTTGCCGTATACTACAGAGAAGTAGTGAATTAGAAACGACGTATACTCATTTTTGTATGTTTTAAAATACTAATAAAAAATTGAGAAGAGAATACATAATGATTGATGGATGAGAAGGCACGTATTCAAAACAAATGATGATAATTTTCTCTGACTACAGAAACAGTTATAGACATTAGAAACCTTCACAGTAGTGTGTTACATTCTGTATTTAATAAAATTATATTAGACGTGCTAAACCGCACAAAACGTCATTCCTCCTCGAATATGTTTTATAATTGTTAGCTCAGAGTGCTATACTAGAAAAGTTAGGATGCCATTCAATAGTGCTCGTTGTGGTTTGTGTGAGAAAGATCTACGAAAAGAGAAGAAGCGTCACTTGAAACACACGCCGGATATGTTCGATTACGTCAACGATTTGTATCTAAAACTCTACGGATATAATATTGATGATGAGACTGCAATGTGTACAGCTTGTTACATGAGACACAGCAGAAGCGTTAAAAGTGGTGCAAGTACGGATGATTCAAATATAGAGATGGACACTGAAACGACAGAAAATGAAACTGTAACTATTTCTTCCGTCGGACTGCTACCCACTTCGTCCAGTTGAGATGCCAAAACAACGGAACTCTAGCATACTCAATTTTTCACGTTCTTTCCAGCAAAATAAAATAAAAAAAAGATGGCAATCTTTTAAAAAGCGCTCAGTTTTTGCCGCTGATGTACGAAAAACGGCACAAATGAACTTTTTAAGAATATTAAGCAATTAAACGAGTGTGTATCGCACAAAACTGTGTTCATCTTCATCGACCACATCGTCTTCATCATCTACAGAAAATCGCCAAAAAACGTTACGGAATTACAGTTAGCCGGACAGGCCGAAGGGAAACGTTGACGTAACTTATAATTCTAAGCACAACATGAGAGGTCGGTGTGGTTTATTTTGTTCAGAATTTGATTCTGTATTGATCTGGGTCATTTTCGAAAAATGGGTTTGAAAAAGATTGTCTGAAAACCCGGTTTTATAGAAAACCCTCTGGTGGGTTACGGGAAATCTGAAAGCGTTGCCATCAGATTCAACGTTGACCCATAGCACCAAGTTTTCATGTTTAAGCCATGAATTCTCACGGATTTATTGCCGAACGACATCGCCGATTTCGGTCAAAAACATCCACTTTTTGATAAAAGTGAAATATTTTGAAAACGAAAAGAGATTTCGAAAAAAGCGAAACGTACATTTGTTGCTCATTTGGAGGCGCAAGAATCAGCCCTCCATCTCTTTACCGGGAAAAGGAATTAGGCTGGCAAGATGAAGTAAGGTATATCTGGGATCCAGCATGAAAAATTCAGTTTTTGGTATGAAACCTTGGAAAACAGATTTTCATATTCCATTTTCGACGGTGACTCTGAAAACCATCTTTTTATAGCTTCAGAATGAAACGGAACTGAGGTATTGGATTTTTCGTAAAAGCAGATCGATTTCAGTAATTTTGGGTTCTTGAAGTTGCTGCATTTTTTTCCAATGAAAACACGTATTGGGAAGGTTAAAAATTAGATTTTGGTCATCAGCTCGAATCCCTCGTTCGAATGGTAGAGCCAAAAATAAAAGTGCTGAACGTTTAAATGACTGGCGCCTTAGCAAAAGCAATAGAAATGCCGTTGAAAGCAAGCCTTGTGTAAGTCTGTTTCTGCCTGTCACGCTCTTCGCATTTTCCACCAAACTCGAATTTCTTCAACTGAAGTTCTTAGGTCGCTTCTTAGAAGTTCCTCCCAGTCCTGGAAACCATTTTTGTGGTTCTGCATGACATTTCCAAAGAGAATAGCGTTGACATTTAGGACAATAAATTTCAATATATTCTATTCGATGACCGTATCTGTCGTTCGTGTGTCGCGCACCCTTTAGAGTGTAGCTAACGTACCAATTGTACGGCTTCGGCTGCTGCTCGTTCGCCGGTGGTGGTGGAAGAAGAACTTTCGTTTCACACTTTAGACATTTGATTAGACCTACATACAGGCAAGGCCAGTCCGAATCACCCATAGGTTTTTCTAGTTCTGTAACCAAATATCGACTGTGGTTATCCATCTGAGCGACAGGGTTTAACTGACCGTGTTCATAGTAAATACCTGAAAAAAAGGGAAAAGGGAACAGACTCATCTAGCCTAAAGACACCACAATCGCTTTTTTCACCTAATCTAGTGGATTATAGGTACTCGACTATTTCTGTAGCTTTCAACGGACAATGAACATGTAGGGCTTTTCTTGTAAATTGTATAACTTTGCTTAGAAGGTCGTGTAGAGCTGGGAGATGTCTCATTTTAATCAGAAATGTGCGGGCTACAATCAGGCCTTATTAAAAAAGGTTTTGGTTTCCTTTTTACAGTAAACTGGTTTTCCAGAAAACGGGTCTCTGGAGGCCTACCTGCCGGTATCGTGTTGATATTCGGAATCAGCATGGTCGACTACCCGTAATCCACTAGATTTGGTGAAAAAAGCGATTAGGCAGTTGGGAGTCTTCCCTCGTAAATGAGCGGCATTTCTTTCGCGTCAGCTCGGATGTGAAATCTCATCCCTTCCCAAGCAACACTTACACAGCTTATCCTTTTCATGCTCTCGTTTAATCGAATTTGTCGTCGGATAAATTGTAATATATCGGCTGTACAACTCCCAATTATAATCGGTTCTTGACAGGCCCGTACAACCGCCACACCGCACACTCATAGTCTGTGTCCATGGGTTTATCTCTTCTTTTCGTTTCATAAACAGATACTGAAATTTTGACTTTTCATTGTGAAACTCTCGCTCCTTCGGAGCAGTGTCGGCTGCAGCAGCACTTGACAAAGTACCTAAGAAAAAAATCCAAACTTATGCTCTGATGCGCCGCGAAAGAGCGCTCGCTGTTAGAGAAAAAAAACGTTTTTTACCTTACCTTCCTTCTGGTGGTTAGCGACGGTTATTAATAACTTGCGATATTGTTTAGCCGCGTATTCTGTGTCTCGTTCTGTAGAGCGCGGATAGAAGTGTGGTAGCACTGTTAATATCATCTTCTTCTCGTCCACTAACTTCTGATGCTGTGATAATCTATCAGTAACATCCGGATACCACGTACATTCACCTGTCAAACATATTTCTTGATTGTCAGGCCACAATTCCGGATGTGACTGACCACCGCCGAAGGCATGGAAAATTCGTTCTTTCATTTCAAGAAAACGTTCATCTACAAAAATTACAAGGGTCCAGAGTTACTTCAATGTGCTGCACGTGGGTCCTCGCCCACCACCTACTTGCACAGGCACGAATTGTTGCCTTCAGCGCTTCTTGCTCAGATACGACATACGACACGTCAATGTCTCTTTCGATAAAATTTTCTAAAAATCAGATAGAAAAACATCAAGCTCTCTCTCTCTCGCAAATAATCGTCGTCGACGTACCAAGCATTTCATCCTTGATACACTTTGTCCACAGATGATTTGCTGAAGCCTCGTGTGTTGCTGCTTCAAGAAGATTGTGCAAAAATGTATTTACTTGCGAAAGATGACATAAGTCCACAAATGTCAGGTACGGAAATATGTTGTAAAGAAGTAATTCAGCTGGTATTTGACACAGTAGCGAAGAAGACATGGAAGTGTCTGAAGTGGAACGACGCTTCGGTTGCTCCAAAGACAGCGACGGCAACGACGCTTGCTGCGATTCCCTCTCTTCTTGAGAATCTACTACTGGTAATAGTGGTTGTGGTCGAAAGCATGCGACGAGTTTCTGTCCCATTGCTAAGAAAACTAGAACCAGACCACTTCACCAAGAATTTTCTCTGATCGGACGAAGCAGTAAGAAAGGATACTGAAAAGTGTAACTTACCTCTGTTCCTCTGTTTACTGTGTGTGCGTTTAGATTACATTATTACTAGCGCATGTGTGCCGATTTCAGTCATACATATAGTAATGGTAACAAATGCGACAAAAGTAAAAGGTGACTACAGTGAACATAAAAAAGAAAAAATGCGCTCGTTATAAACGTTGCACGTGTAGAGAGAGAAAGATTTGCACATATCTTTATCTTTAAAAAGAGTTAAAACAACCAAGAAGTCGCCCTCTAGAATTCGAAACGTCAGACAAAAATTGCGTTTATTAAAGTTATCGCTAAACAGAAAAGTGAAATAACGAAACACAATAATACGAATTATGATGAAGTTTTGTTACGATTTTCTTTTTAAAAATGACCTTCGTCACTGTCAATGCCGCTACCCGTTGTGTAGTGACTTTAGTTACGACTAATTGGTAGTAGTAGTAATACCAATTACCTTTCGGTGTGGGGTGAGACAAACAAAGTACACGAAAAAAAGAAACATAGTGTCTTTCGGAAACCGTAACGTCTGTTTTCAAAAATTATCATTCCTGTTTTCTCAGATTAGCGACCTCCAGGACTGGTTTAATTGAAAATCATCATTCCTATCCAGGATTAACTTAGACCCGGTTAATATTTGACGTTGATGCCCTTCGTGTAGACTACCCTTTCGTTTCCGCAAAAATCTCGAATGTTCTCTTTATTTTACCGTGCGACTAATTATTTTGTTTTTCATATCCCTAAACAATGTGTTATTTATTCTTTTATTTAGGTGAACATAAACGCGAGCATCCACTTCATCTTCTGTCGTTGGTTTGAGTTTTTTTGTGAGCGTAGGTGGTGCTGATGGAGTTAATTCTACTGAAACAGCACCGTGTTTTCGTTTTTTGAATTCTTCGACCGCCGGCGGAAAAAATTCTCTCAATGTCGGTAAATTCCGACGAAGAAATAAAAGATTATTAACTTTTTCTGTGTCTGATCTAGTTCGCAGATCAGTAATTGTATTACCACTATCGGAAAAGATGCGTTCGATGGAAGTGTTCGTTGCTGGCACAGACAAAACACTTGGCTGAAGTGACGTTTTGAATATTTTCTGTCGAAGCGGGATAAACCGGACGGGACAGGATTTGCCAAAAAAGTTCGGGACGAGACAAACGGGATTCGAGACATGAAAAAGTTTGTCCCACAGGACACTAGTATCATGCCTTCGTGTTGAGTATTCTCAACTATGGAATCGTTATTTATGGTGGTACTGATTTACGCAATATCAATTGTCTAAATCAAATTCAATATCAGGCAGCTTTAGCTGTCTCTGGGGCTATGAGGGGCACATCACATGTGAAACTTCTTAAAGACTTAGGGTGGTTATCAATTAATGAGCTTATTTACGTTCGACGCATGTGTTTGTTTCATAAAATCATGCATAGTAAAACTGCTACTTATATTATGAAACTTTTTCCTATGCCAGGACCCCAGGTTTATCAAACTCGACGTTTCAGTCGAGGAGACATCTCCTTGAATTTAAGAGGTCGGGCGTTATTGGAGAAATCCTTTTTACTTTTAGGCTTATAAACCAAAGCTTTTGCAAGATATGAATTTTTTATGATTTAGACAGCTTTTAGTGAAAATTCACCATTGAAAACCTAAAAACTTGCAGTCACCTTTTAGATACCTCTATCGACTCAGTAAAGACTTATTTCATTCAGATATAGGTCCCTAAGAGCCGCTGAGCTTCCACAGCGTGAAGAGAGGTACTTAAAAGGTGATAACAAGTTTTTAGGTTTTCAATGGTGAGTTTTCATTAAAAGCTGTCTAAATCATAAAAAATTCATATCTGGCAAAAGCTTTGGTTTATAAGCCTAAAAGTGTCGCAGTGAGTAGACAACATCTATCTTCAACTGTGGTGAAAATTTCCGACTCCTAGCTAATCATTGTAGTGAGCTATTAATTAATTATTATTAATGGCATTTTCATTAATTAACTCATATCTCCGTCAAAAAGGCGCATGGGCCCAAACCAACTTGGGGTTTTTCATTGCTGACTATTCCCTACATGATGAAAATAGTCTGAGTCGGAAAGCTTTTAATCATCTCGAGAGGTTCCCTCGTTAGACATTTTTAGCATCTCAACACATGTGTGCCCTTTCTCTCTTCTCCATGTGCTTCAGAGGTAGAGAGAATTTGCTTTCAATAAACAAATATCTGTTATTGTACAAGGCTTATAACTAAAAACGTGAAAAATAGGAGGGGTCTTTTCTTTTGACTTTTACAAGAGGAGTTCAGGGAGGATTTTCTATATTTTTTTAAACAGTTTTCCTTTTATTCACGAAATAATGGTAAAAATAAAAATAAATAAAAATACAACCACCAGAGAAAAACACTTATTCGGCAGTTCGGGATATCCCATTGTATGCCGAATTCTAGATGAACATGCTGAAACAAAATGAGTATATAGAAAAGAGAGATTATACTAGTGTTGGTGAAGAGACAGAGAGAATTGGGAATCGAATTTTGAGATCCGCTATATCCATGTGACGTCCTCTCATAAAGGTTTAGTACATCATGACTGATTAAATCTTCTAGTAGTATCAATAAATTGGAGGATGGTTGTATACACTCCTATCAGGTCCTGCTTACTTAGTGCTCGGATAGAATCATGTTTCAAAAGTATGTGATCCAACGTAATGTGATTATCATTAAGAACAATACGCAGCTGCTCAAACATAAAATTACGAGACTTATCGTAAATAGCACAGTCCATGAAAAAATGTTTGGTAGTCTCTCTATTAAAGCCACATGCACACGCCGGTGACATTTCTAATTCACCTCTAGTAAAGAGATAGTCATTTAGTTGGGGATGATCATCTCTACATCGCGTATGATGTATCTCCAATCACCGATCACGCATTAACGGTAAACGAAAGGACGAAATATATTACAAGGCTAATCTGAGTTTAAAATCAGTCAGTTTATGTATTAAACATATATCGTTAGGTAGAAGATTCCATGCACGAATACCATTCCGAATAAAGGATTTCCCCAATAACGCCCGACCTCTTAAATTCAAGGAAATGTCTCCTCGACTGAAACGTCGAGTTTGATAAACCTGGGGTCCTGGCATAGGAAAAAGTTTCATAATATAAGTAGCAGTTTTACTATGCATGATTTTATGAAACAAACACATGCGTCGAACGTAAA